CGATACAATTAGAAAGATTGACCAAAAATTGTCAACCCAAATTTGTCCAGTACCCCTTTCATTTGGCATACTAGTACTAGTGCCTGTTTTCGCAGATTTACTGTCATCAGAGGGTGAAGGTAAAGCCAATGATAACACCAGAAGCTGTTGCGTGGTCAATTTGGGCATATGGAGTTATTGGCATAATCTTAAAACCTGTTCATTTTCCTTGCTTTTGATGAAACAAAACACCTATCTATCTTCTTCAATTTAAGTCGGGATATCCTCGAGTGAAGAAAGCGGGGTTGCCAGATGCGGGAGATAACCATAGCAATGACCCCCAATTTTGGGTGATTTCCAAAGCGGTTATGTCCTTTAAAACTGCAAATTTACTTTTGTTTGTTTTTTATCAACAGTATTCCGACAAAAGTTAACGCAGAAATACGTTTTTAACTAGACATTAAATGTCTTTGGCACAAAACAAACAAACAAAAAACAGAACATTAAAAGAATCAGTGCAAATTGCCCACCGGCCAGGAAAATGTTGGGTTCTCCAATTTCATTACTTTGACGAGTACCTGATTTCACCAATTTATATTGAGTTGTGTTTAACGTCTACATTGAGCATTTTTAAGACTCTATCGACAGAAAGGTTCGTGAACAATTTTACAGACTGCCTTCCAGAGGCGAATGGATACGTCATTGTACCATATCATTTTCCTCAACCCGCCAAACTCTGGCTTGGAGAACTATTGTGTTGTGTTGCTCATTTATTACCAAGCACCATCCTCAGAAACTAACAGCTCTGTGTACTGAAAAACAGTTGCAATAGCTCAACAGTGCCTGATATATTATAGTGTTCGCCTGTCAACCTGGAGGTGCAGAGTTCGTCCATTGTATTACATTGGTCAAAGGTGAAAAAAGGCTTTTTAAAAACAAAAGTTGCCAAGTTATTTGGAAACTGATGTGCTGATTCTAAATATGTAGATCTAGAATCTAGTTAAATATCTGGTTTTTGTCTATCGATTTCCGATATTCTTGATTTTTTAAGGGGAGGTAAGAATATCAGAAAAACTAGAGAAATAGCTTTTATTATTTCCAAAAAAGTAATTATCCAAGAGTGTTATACTCCTGTATCATCTAGATCTAATATCATATTTTTTAATTACATATGTGAGGCAGCGTGCTGGAATCAGGCTCTCGTCAGTTTTTGGGCATGTAGAGTTATTGATATCGTCTTAAAGCTTGTTCACTTGTCTTTATTTGGTTGAAAAAGATATCCATTTATCTTAAATACAAATCGAGATATTTGCGAATGAAGGAGGTAGGGGCCACCTGTTTTCAGAGGTACAATTAATGAGAAAATAACCGCCAAAGATTAGTTACTTCCTTAGCTTAAGAGTCCGAGGTAACTGAAAATTTAAATTTTTTTGTGTGCCTTCTATCAACGTTTTAAAAAAAATCCACACAGAAAAGAATTCTTTAATGGGCTTGAAAGGTGTTGAGCCCAAAAACCAAATTTTGATAAAAATTCACAAGCAGCGGAAAAATGCAAGTTTCTTCACTTAGATTATTTTGACGAGAGCCTGATTCCACCACGCTGCCTCACATATTGTTTTAAAGTTTAATCTTCTTTCATTTGTATAGTTGATTATTTAGTATATGTAGTGGTAGAATTAATGTAAACGAATATTCAAAAGGCAATGCAAGTGACCTAAGCAGTGGGTTTTTTAATGTTTGATAAAGTGACTACCAAGTTTCACAACATAGTAATGTTTGATGATCATTTCATTTATTGAAGCTGATATAGGCCATTTGGCATCTAGATCTAAGTGGCGCTATTTAATTAGTCGTGTTGTAGATCTATTATTTTGATAATTAAAATTTATTTAGATCTAAATCTGTCCACTGTCCACCCATTGTGCTTACCTGGTGTGCTACTACATTGTCTGGACGGAAAAAGAAATTCCTAAACATCAGTTGTACTTATTAAGTTGAAATAGGGCAGTAGTGCCATTGATTTAGCTGCACCTGACAAGTTGCATTACTATTATTACCCATTAGAACAAATGATTATTTCATTCGAGAAATGAACTGAACGTAACAGTACCATACTCTGGCGTAATCCCGGTTCATTATGGTGCCCATCATTTGAATCTATTTGAAACAAAATTAAGGGAAATGTAGAAAGATTTGCACCTAGGTCTAGACTCGACTATAAGGGATAGCGAGACTGGGACACTAAGTGTTTGGTTGCCCATGGTGAGTGCGCTTTGTAGCGAAGTTTTTAAAGTGTTTACTAGATGTAGGCTTCAGAGGGATAAAAGTAGAAGGCGAATGATGTAGTGCGCGGAGTAATTTATGCAAATTTTTATATTTCACGTTTGAGATATCAACCTAGCCAGCCTATATTTCAGGATATATTTTACCGGAAGCGCAATGCTAAAACAG